TTTGACAACAGCATGCTATGTGCCAGCACAGAAGCTCAGCACAGTTCAATGTTAGGGCTTGTACTGCTCAGCACAAAATTCACACCATCTGCACCACACCAGTGGACAGTGGCTCTGCACTAGCTCATGCCCCAGCAGAACCCATCCACACCAATACAAACTAGACTTAAAGGGACACTCCCACCTTAACATTAGTTTTGAGTTGAGATAGCCAAATTGGTGGCCATGGCCTGCAAATACCGGTTTGGGCACTCACAACATCGAAAAATGCTTTAATTCGAAGATATGGAATTTTAAACTTGCAGTTTTCGGATTCTAAGGGGCTAATGCATTGGAATGCCCCCTTAGAATTTGTGACGTCAGCGGAGATCTAACGATTTTTAAATCTTAGACTAAAACCATCGTTAACACGTGGTGGTATACGCTGCTTTGCGCGCAACGTCTGCCGCACTTTAAGGCTGCCAAATTATTGCTTCCAAATAGAGTCGCTATAGTAACAGGGGAGATCCCAAAAAGTAAACAAAAGTAAAAGCCTAATATCTTGAAAACCAGTGAATATTTTTCGGTGAAATTTGGTAGATATTCGTTTTCGCTCTTTCTGAACTAAGGGACATCACTTTCATGCCAATTCATTAACTTTTTTGAAGGTGGGAGGGTCCCTATAAATATCCATTCATGATGATCTCAGATTTACTTATCCCAAGCTGCGTCTTATCGGAAGAGAACGGTGAAGCTATGTCCATGCTGTTGTCACCAATCTAAAACATGAATAATAATAAAAGACCAAATGTCTGTGAGTTTTGGATGTGTTACGATATATAAAGGGAAATCGACGAGGGAGCTGAGAGTAATGAGACAGTTTCTGAGCAAGTTCGACAACGAATATACCTAGGGCATTATTATTTTCCCTTCTGGGTTTATGTGGGGTCTAATGCAAGAATACATTGAGATCAGTGATGGAAATCACAGAATAATACGGGAGTGCTAAGTGGTATAATGCGAGTATAGTTTGCAAAATATTCCCCTTATACGCTCCCCGGTCAAGGTAAGGTCAGTGACCTCGGTTGACCTCTAATGACTTCTTGCACTTGTATGCCTTTTCGGGGTATTTTGATGCCCTTAATTCGAATTTGCTATCCATTTCAGGCATCGTCGGGTGTTTCTTGTTGTTTGTTTTGGGTCAGGGTCAGGTCAGTGACGTCATTCGCCTGACGTGACCCAATGGACAAATGACCTTGCAGACTTCCGATGCTCCCAACGCATCATTTTTAGAGTTATGACATCGAAATACACACCAAACGATAGAGAATTGATCAAGGATCACGATAGTGAAGGTTTCAAGTCGATATCTTTTACCGTTTTGCCGCAATCGGCGCGGAAATCTGAAAAAGTTAGATTTCTTCGAAAATTTGACCTTTGACCGGTCATAAGTAGGTCAAATGTTGACCTAGGACCAAAAAATATACCACCAATCGCGAGATCTCGTTGAGAGCAATCCGTTGGTCTTTTCCGCTAAGCTCTACGACGCTTCGTTTTCAAACGCCAGGGGGGGTCACACCCCCCCCCTGCATGGGCGAAGGTGGCAAAACACCGTTTACGGGCGAGGGTTAAAAGGAGTGTACTGTGGGTATGGCAGGGAATAGAACAGGAATCATATTCCTTTCCTCTTCGGTACTTAATAGGGTATATTAGAAGAATTCAAGGGAGCTATTTAAAGAACAAGGGTATAGTTTGGGTATATTCGAAGAAATGATCAGGGTGTTGTTTTAGACCAAAACCCCTAATATGCTTAAAAGGAATCAAAAAAGCTCTCAGTGCAGTAATTTGTTTCTGACTTAGAAGGGGGGGGCTACGAATAGCCCCTCCCCAGTAGGGCGCGTAATACGCATACCCCAGTGGGGCGCGGGTCAATCCATATTAAGGAGATAAGCTGAATATTTAGGTGCTCCATTTCGCTTTTGCAGTCCACAGTGGAAGACCCTATATCGTGTCATGTGTCATGCATTGCACATTGCTCTCCATGAGTGTCACGGGTGACACCCTCCACAAAGCTGATCCTCTGACAAGGCCACTGCAACTCGGTGCCGATAGTCTGTGCCGATAAATTTACCGATAGAAAGACTGCGTAGCATGCAAACGTCAATCGCCTGTTGACATATATCCGCCTTATGATGCATAAAGACATCTGTTGCCGGTGCAGTGTTTGTTCGGGTCACAGCAAAGGAATTTTACAAACCTGAGTTAGGTATAGTTAGGTAACTACTAGTGGACTTTGGAACCCACAAGGCTTTGTGCAAATTACCTACCGGGTGGCCCAGAAAGAACGTTTCCAATTTTAGCCCGACCGGGCCCGAGGGGTAATCCCAACCACCACAGCCCGGTGGAATGTTTTTGCCTCCCCCCCCCCCTTCTAACTCCGTAAATATGGGAGCTACGCAAACAAATGCGGCACCAAACGAAAATTATTTAGGAGACAATTCTCCTATGAAGCACATACAATTTTTGACATCAGGTCAATTTTCAAGGTCAGAGAGAGCCGAGAGGTCATTTGTCAAGGTCAAAGGCAAAAACCGGCATATGTGTAGTGATAACAAAGCAAGTGTTTCAAAGGACGGCAGGATGTATAAAACCGGCAAAATGGGTGTCAAACGAAAGAAGAGAATCTGAGGATTCCGATGATGTACCCAACATTCAAGGTTAAGGTCAATGTCACGCTCAAAACTGACCTCAAATAGACTCGATACCTCAAACTTTGCACTTTTTCGTATATCGTGTTTACTAGATTCCAAGAGGTTTTGAAATGTTTGGAAACTTACCATGGGCCTCTATTTGAGGTTCATCTCACGATACAAAGCTGCTCCAAGTTCAAGGTCAAGGAAGAGTATCTTTGTTAGAGGCTATTTCACTGATTAAAGTTAGCTATAACAATTAACACAATTTTGCCTACCTGAAACTATTTAATTGAAAGCTTAAAGCAAAGGGGATGTCAGATTCGTGACCAACGTGCAGGGGTCTAGACCTGTGACGTCATCAAGGAAGCTAGGCCAAAAGCTTTTGCGCCAGAAGATGTCAAATTGATGGGGAAAAGCTGCTGAAAGCCTCACTTTCCTGTCCCTAAGCGTTCGGGAGCTATATAGCTAATATTCGCCAGGTGGGGGGCGGCAAAAAACTTCCACCGGGCGTGCGAGAGTGAAATATACATTTCTAGTAAAACGATGAAAATACAACATTTGAAATTCGAAGAGTCAATGCTGCACATGTTATTAGTAAATGGTGTGATTTTTATGCTATTCGGTGGATCACTTTGAGAATATTTGTGTTTCAATCATGTCATGAGGAAGTTACTTTTTTGCTCAGACGTTCACTAGAAGTGCACGCATGTGAATGGGTCACTCTCATCCCGGCGCCACTGTCTGGAGCCATGACTTCCACTGGCTCATCATCTCATTGCAGGGTGACACGTTCTCTCCGGCCGATGGCTCTCTGGAAGTGGCACCAATGTCAGAAGACATTTCCAGTGTTATAACCATATTCAGCTGGGTCAAATGTTCTGTTGGTTAGTAGTCCTAGGAAAGGTAGTTTTTCAACCAGTTTCTTTTGTCGTCTCCAGCATGCAGCTTTTCAGCGGGTATTATTTGGTCTTCTTGCAAGGTACCTACCATGGTTTATTTTCCCTTACAGTCGATTGATTGTTTCATCTTCTTGAAGTGTCGGTGTTCAGAAGCAAGCTAAGCGCCGTTCCACTCTTACCACTCGAAACATGACATGGTGTTGAAACGAATGGTATCCATGGGCACCATTTTTTGGCTTAGTATTTTATTTGACACACCTTCTATAAGTAAGTCAAAGGAAAAAGTGGCAACACACGTGCTGGTGTCATTCACGTGCTCTATTTTCCTAGGATTTTATAGCGTGTTACGTCTAAACCAAACATCATCGTGGTTAGTCATGGTTCAGGATCAACCAAGAAGCAAAAACTTGTCACTTTATTTGTGGAATAAAGTGTGCTAGCTCATGAAAATGAATAAGCTAGGATCTTGCAGCTGAATCATATCGATCAAGGATGGTTGCGTTTGAAAGTCAACATCTCACGATTAAACAGTCACGCATCACGCTTCTTTTTGTGAATCATTTAAACGGATGTCTGAGCCGTTACGATGGTTGGCATTTGGCAACAATCAACCATCAGAGTCGAATTGCCGTCCCACTCTCGTCCGAACGCCTTCCCTTTCAAACTTTTGCCCAACCTCGTTACACCACCGTCTAATTGTAAGAACTGTCCAAATTCGACCAAACATCGTCCAAATTCCGTACAAGTCCTGTCCAACTCCCGTGAAACTCCCCTCCAGCCACAAGCGTCCTTTTCATTTTCCTGTCATATCCCATCGAACTGCTATAGCGCCGTCTGCAGCTTTCATCCAGCTCCCGATTAATTTCCACCCCAACTGCAGACAACTGCAGACTACCGGCAGACGCTTGTTCACCTTCCTCTGGTATCCCATCCGAATTCGTTCAAAGCTAACACTGTCCACATTGTAGCTCCCGCCCAACTCATGATTAACTCTCATCAACCTCCAGTTTAACTCCCGTCCAGCTCCTGTCCAGCCCCCTGTTAACTGCCACCGTCTAAAGGTTCGTCACTGGTCACCCTAGCCTCTGTCGGTGGAGGGCCGCCACGTCAGTGCTCCGTATCCCAGCACGGCGTATTCCCGGCCGGACGATAAGATAACGTCACAACTCCTCGGTGGCAGGGCAGCCCCTCCCCGGTGTAAGTACCGGTGAAATGTTCACCTCCAGACTCCCACAGCACGCCGGCGGGGCGGGGTGCAGACGGAGCCTGCCTCCGCTGGCGGAGAGTGGGAACTACGAGAGCCCCTCGGTATGTCGGGCGCGGACAGAGGGGTCCGGCGGGGTCCTCAGGGCGCAGGGCAGCCGCCGTGGCTCCGGCGGCGTGGTCCGTATCGCTCCTACACTGCTAATCCCCGCCGAGTCAACAGCTCGCTATCGCCGCCGTGCCGATAGCGACACGCCATTTTGAACGAGTCGTCAGTTGCCGCTGGCTGCCGGTATCCTGCGGCTACACGGCGGCGGAGAGCTACTGAGGAGTCTGCGGACTGCGGAGGGCGACTGAGGAGTCGGCGGAGGGCGACTGAGGACCAGCGTGGTGTCAGGGACTGGCCGACTGCAGGACGGACGGTGACCGCGCGGGACGTCAGCCATGCTGCTGCGGTGGCGAGGAGCGGCGGCAGGTGGGTGCAGACCGCTCGGCAGGGCAGGTCCGAGCAGTCGGGCAGAGCTGGGCAGGCTGGCTGGTGTCTGCGTTTTGCTAGCCGTAGCTTCCATAAGCGTTGGATGACCTTGGTATTTGCACACCTAGCATTTGATTCAAGCCAAATCTTTTGAAACCAACTACCTCACTGACCTATATCTCATAAGTAAACCTTTGCGTGGTCCTAAGATGTCGCAGCTTGGCAGCGCCTTCAGCCCAAAGAGCATTTGCACGGAGATGAAACTTACAGGGCTCAGTAACTTCCTGAGGCCTAACAACTTGTCCATCTGGGATTTTTCCTTAAACCGAGCCGTCAATTATAATCAGATGTCTTTTCTGCAAATGTTGTGAAAATTTGAGACTCGGGTCATTCAATGTCAGGTCACCAAGTCACGTTAGCCGTAGGGCTATCGGCGCCCTGTAGGGCTATCGGCGCCCTGTAGGGCTATCGGTGGACACTACCACCCGTAGGGGGGGGGGGGGGTGGCGTTTCGCCCCTCCCCCTCCTAAGATCTCGGAAAGTTGCCGCCCGATTTTCACAATTCAAACGGCGTTCGATAGCCCTACCACGGAACTACCTGGTGACGCAATTTGTGTAATCAATAATGTAAACTACCTGGTGACGCAAGTTACAGGTCACCAAAATATAAGAAAAACATAACCAAACCTTACCTAACCTGACCTACTGATTTTTGCCTACCCGTGGATAAGGAAGAAGTTGCTCACTTGAATAGCTTGCAGACAATGATAAGTCAAATATTTTTAGGTTAAGTGGATGTGCATCAGGCTTCTTCGGCCTGAAGCCAGATACACAACCACTTAACCCTCGCCGGCCGAGGGGGGGGGGCGGGTGCCGCCCCCCCATAGGGTTTTTTCGCGATAGCTCCGAACACGCTGGCGATAGAGAGCTGAAACTTGGCATACCTGACCTTTGATCCAAGCCGGATCTTTTGACACCAACCGCATTTTTGGGTCAGGTCAGGTCACTGACCTATGACGTCATAAGTGAACCTCTGCACGGTCTTCAGATGTCGCAACTTCGCAACGCCCTCACTGCCAGAGGAGATGTCACAGGGAAATGAAACTTGCAGGATCTAGTATCCATTATGAGTCCCACAACTTGTATATCTCGGATTTTTCCTAAAGGTCATATGAGGTCAGGTCATTTTCGTGACCTCACCATTATAAGTCAATGGGGAAAAATGAAAACTGCTATTCTGGCGCCGGGAACGATCTCCAACTATCTCAAGCACACAGAATCGTGATTTGATGCACTCCTTGCAAGGTTAGATGCGTCACTTTTGCAATGTTGACCTTGCGTGACGTCATTTATGACGTCATCAAGGTCATATTAGTTTTTCGTCAATAACTCTTGATCAAATTGAGCTAGCGAGTCGGGAAAGCCACCAATGGACTCAGGAAGACCTGCCGAATCGAATGATATGCGACATGACCTCTTTCGACCAACTTCGTGACCTGGGGGTGCTGACCTGACCTTGACCTGAGGTCAACACCCCAAGTTGACCTGACCCGGACAAAAAGTACACCATTCGACGCGCCTGAGCGAGACGAACACGATGCTGCCAAAATCGGCGCTCTGCGGCCGTTTTTTGCGAAGTTATTCAACAAAAACTGAACCGTACCTTGGGGCACTTGACCTGACCTCAGAGGTCACCGGTTGACCTAGGACCTTAAAATCGGGTACCAATCTCTGCGTCTCGTAACGGCGCACACGCTCGTTTTTTCCGCGACGCGCTAGCTCCACCAGGGGCGAAACGGCGAGGGGGGGTCGTACCCGCCCCCCCCCCCTCGGCCGGCGCGTATGTAGAAAACCAATAGGTCCGGCGAGGGTTAACCTAAAAATATTTGACTTACCATTGCCTGTAATCTCTCCTAAGGCATTGCCTTCGGCACTGCACTGCTTCGCCACGAGCAATTTGATGTTAATTTCTATGTTGTATTGGTGCATTTAAACTTCTTTGTGCCATTAACAATTATTAGTTATGAAATCAGGTTAACCCTCGCATGTGTAGGGGGGGGGGTCGGATTAATCCCTCCATGGTTTTTCGCAAATAACTCGCGCAAAAAGCGGCCGATCGCGACGAAACTTTCAGTACCCTCGAGTTGTTCAATTCTACACCTACTCCGAAAATTTAATGACCCTGACCCAAGTGACTTTTGACCTGTGACCTATTTCTCGAGGCCATGTTTGGCCGGAATCGCAATTCGGAGTATGTCGGCTCACATTAGCCACGCGTTTGCAAGTTTTTCGTGGTTTCAAAGTTCAAACATGTGATTCGATGTTGCTCCCATGCATTAGGGTGGATATCAAGGTCACCTGAATGTCAGGTCAGGTCATTGACTTTTGGTGACCTCTGTTCACCTTTTCGAGTTTTACATGTTTCTAGGCAGTAGGCTAGTTTTTGGAGCCGAATTCGAATTTAGAAACCATTTGAACATTTACGAAGTAGTTTTGGTGCCTTCGTAACATGCTACGAAGCTGTCAGAGGCGGATGATACCTACTACGAATTCCCGTCACGACCCCTACTGGTTGACTTGACCTGACCTGACCCGACCTGGTCTAAATGCTTAAAGACATTATCTGTGATCAAAACTAACACGATATTCGTGATCAGCAGTCAGCACCCCGAAAAAAAAACATAGCAGCAACACTTTACGACTTTCTAACAGGTCCCGATTTTCGTGACTTTTGGGTCATTGACCTGACCTGGAAGGTGCAACCGTCCCCCCCCCCCCTACACGTTAGAAGCTGGCAAACGCCGCACACATGCGAGAGTTAAAGGATATCATGTGATTTGCTCCTTACTTGGGGATTGCAACAAAAGTAAATTGGTGATCGTTTCTAAAGTAAATAATTGCCACCTAACCTAACCTAACTTAGCCTTACCTATGTTTACAGATTGACATTTCGGCAAATTTACATTTCAACTAATCAACTAATCAACTAAATTGACATTTCGGCAAATTTACATTTCGAATAAACGGCATTTCAGCAAACTGCCAATTCGGCAGATTGACATTTCGGCAAATTTACATTTCGACTAATCGACATTTCGGCAAATCGCATTTCGGCAAATTTACATTTCGACTAATTGACATTTCGACTAATCAACATTTCGGCAAATCGCATTTCGGCAAATTTACATTTCGACTAATAAGCATTTCGGCAAATTGGCATTTCGGCAAAAATGCATGTCGGCAAATGGCATTTCGACTTTTAGCATTTCGACTTTTTGACACGTCGGCAAAAAGCACATCGGCAAAATTACGTTCGGCAAATCGCCTTTCGACAATTTGTCCGGACACCGAGTAAAAGACATGTTATTGCAAATTATTGATGGGTGAATTGTCCTTAAAACACATATTTTGCTAATTGAGGTCATTGATACCAGGTCATGTCACAGAGGTCAGGTCACTGAGGGTCACAATATGAAAGTGCCGCGTGTAATACATGCTTTATGGTTCATTTTGCATAACAAATGAGATTATGTGGGTCAGGTAGCCTTTGGAGCCAGTTTAGGTAATGGTCCGGTGAAGGTCAGGTCAAGGTCAGGTCAAATTAGGCCTAATTTCAACGTTGATATTTTTGCATAAAATGGGTATCGATTCGATGCAACTCGTCACGGGGAGTCTAATGGTGGTCTATGTTGTGCGCTGCGTGGTCTAGAATTGCTAAAAATTGAGTTTGAAAAGTCGACGTCATCAATTTTGAACAGTCTTTTCGCTATAACTTGGCAAAAAAAAGAGTTATCAATCTCAAATTTGGTATGTGGATAGAAGGTAGGAGGGACTATCATATATATTCCTTTTTTTCGAAGTTCGAAAAACTTTTGGGATTGTTTTGGCTATTATATAAAAAAAAGTTATTTTGGGGGGTCAAAATGCAAAAATTTCAAATATCGTAGTTTTGTAGCACTTTTAACCCTCGCCCCGTTGGGGGGGGCCATTTTGCCCCCCCCCTGTGGTTTTTCCTGAATAGCAAGAAAACGGCGGCGCGCAGCGCCGCCAAATTTTCAGTACCTTCCCGGGCATCAATTTGACACCTTCACACCAAATTTCAAGTCTTAGGTCACCTTAGGTCAGGAGTTATTGAGGTCAAACTGAGGTCATGTTCGAGCAAAAATGAGCAAAAAACATGCAATCTTGAAACGCTCACCAAATCTACAGTTATCAAGCAATTTCAAAGTTCTTTATATGGTCTAGTAGACAAAAGGCGGCGCTACAAAACTGCTATCTCGGATTTTCAAAGTTTTTGGTTTTTGACCAAAAAAAAAATCAAAAAATTGATTTTTTAGAAAAACTTTGAAAAAATCCAAAAATTTTCCGAATTTCGAAAAAAACCGGAATATATGTGATAGTCCCAGCGCTCTTCTATATACATACCAAATTTCAGATCGATATCTTGTTTTTTGGCCAAGTTATAGCGAAAAAACTGTTCAAAAATGATGACGTCAAATTTTTGAACTCAATTTTTAGCAATTCTAGACCTCGTACGGCAAAACAAAGACCACCATTGAACTCCCCGTGACGAGCTGCATCGATTCGATACCCATTTTATGCAAAAATATTAACTTTGAAATTTGACCTAATTTGACCTGACCTTGACCTGACCTTGACCTGACCTTGAACAAAACGTGATCTAAGCTGGCCCCAAAGGCTGCCTGACCCATATAATCGCATTTGTCATGTAAAATGGACCATAAAACATGTATCACACGACACTTTCATATTGTGACCCCCCCGTGACCTGACCTCTGTGACCTGACCTGGTATCAGTGACCTCAAATAGCAAAATATGTGTTTGAAGAACATTTCCCCATCGATGATTTTCCATGAAATGCATTTTACTCGATTTTACAACGCATTTCTTGAAGTGCCTGTAAACGGTGAAAATTGGACCTTTGACCTGACCTGTGACGTCATCGGTTTGACCTAGGTCAATAAAATTGGGTCACAAGGTAGTTCCCCGTTGGGGCTATCCAACGCCGTTTACCGCTTGTCGCTATGTTGCGTGGTTCTCGAGATCTTAGGGGGGGGGCCAAAATGGCCCCCCCCCCAACCGGGCGCGTTGCTCGGCAGAGCCCAACGGGGCGCGGGTTAATTCTACACATTTTATGTCTGTACATTTTCCTCTAGCTTCAAAGCTGTAGGCCTGACAGCTCTTACCGTGAACACTTTTTTGGGGGGTCGAAAATGGCAGAACATGACGTTACTCTGACGTCATTAGCGGCCAACCTATCATAGCCTCTGGAAAAATCTGTCACAATGTGTAAAATTGATGCCGGGAGGGGTCCTTAAAGTTTGATGACGATATCTGCACTCGTTTTGGAGACATCGACCAAAAAGGACATGGGGCCGTTACGGTCCCTCCTCCCCCCCCCCCCCCTACGGGGCGCGGGCGCGGTGACCTTACGCCAGGAAAAGTTTTAATGCTCGCCATAGCTATACCGACTGAACGATCGCTTTGAACCTTTCAACGACTGGTAAATGTACCAGTGTATATAGAATGCATAACTCGGAATTTGGATGTCTGTGACCTAAGGTCAGACAAATTTTACGAACGTTTCATTTTAGGTATGTCAATGGGAGAAAACTGAACTACGCCTTTTTTGGACGAAAGTCAAACGAAACACTCTCAAACACCCAGTCAATAAGTAAACATGACACAGGATCCGGAAATGGCACCTGCGACCTCTCCTTATTTCCCTGAGGTCATCTCAGGTCATGAAAGGTCACCAGCAGTTTTGTCTTATAACTTTTGATAGAGATGCGCTAGAGCGGTGAAAACACCCCAGATGTGTTTAGCTCGACGATACAGATCGACTGACATTTATGCAACATGACCTATTTCTGTCAGGTCTGCATGACCTTGATCTGAGATAATTTTTTGAAAAGAATTTCCGATGTCAAATTATAGATTATTCGACGCGGCTCGACAAGAGGAACACGATGATGACAAGATTAATGTTATGACGCTTTTGAGTCAAAAGTTGTTGCAGAAAAAAAAAAACTTTTTTCGTAAGAATGGCGTTTGGTTTTTGCCCTCTGGAGGCTAAACCGTTGACTAGTAGGTACAAATCTGAGGGCACCTCCCAGAAAGAAAAGAGGTATCGAATGCGCCTTTCCGCTGCGCTATAGCTTTATTGGCTAGCGCTAGTTATGCGCCGATTTGCCGAAATTGCTTAAGTAGGCAAAATTTGACTTTTCAGGACCTCTGGTGAGCTGACCTTTGACCTGACCTTAGAAATGACTAAAGTATTGTCTTCATTTGTTGACGCTATTTCAAATAAATGCCTTTTACCGCGTGTCGCTACGTGGCCCAGGAGTTGAGTTAGACGTGGGGACGTGAAAACGCTTCCCTCCCCCAGTACGACATGGAAAACTCAGCACACCAGCACGGTGCGGGTTAAAGTCACCTGAGATCAGGTGATTCACGTGATCTAACCATTGGGAGACTGGCAATGGGAGGAATGCGAAAACCTGGTGACGGTGTTTTGGCGCCGGAAATGCTGCTCTAGCGCTTTCTCAAGCACATGGAATCGTGATTTCATGTATGTACGCCTTCAAAGGTCCGATACATAAATTTTGTATTGTTGATGTTTCTCACTAAGGTCATCGGATTTTTTGTCCAGTCTGTGCGTTTCGTAGCGTCGTACACACTACACACTCGTTTTTTTTCGCCGGGCTCTTGCTCAATAAAAGACGAAACGCAACGGGGTTCTACCAAGGACCTAGTATGTAAGTTGTAAGCAGACCTAGTAAGTAAGTAAGTAAGTAAGTAAGTAAGTAGTAGTAAGTAAGTAGACCTAGTAGTAAGTATGATAGAAAACTGATAGGTCTGGGGATAGTTATTTCTTCGCTAATCGATTTTTCAATGTCTGCCTGATGATGTCTTGGGGTAACAAAAATCGTTGAATAAGCATTTTAGCAGAAAAAGGCCAATTAGTACACAATGTAAGCATTTACTAGGCCACCTATTTCTATAGTTATATTCCCTTCAATTGCAAAACTATGTTTAAGCTCTTGCATTGTCTCTGCGATGCGAGAAGGCTCTTGGTAACAAGGAAAATAAACATTGATGCAAATATAGTAGTGAAAGGATAATGTTGAACAAAATGTAAATGTGGGAGATATTGAACGGCGAAATCTCGCGTGATTTGTGTTCGATCACGGTAAAGCCTAATGGATGCTCCTGTTCGCACAAAGAACGCCCAGCGCATGGGCCATTGAGCGATCCCGCTGCCGAGGCGTTGCGCCATATCTCGGAGCTCGCTCTCTTTGTGTGCCGGCGGCGGAGCAGGGTTCCGGCGGTCACTATCGGGCCGCTGAGGCATGTGTGACTCACCGATAGTAGTCGATAGTGACGGCGATACCTGCCCGGCGCACGGACCACTGAATCAACGCGGAGGAGAAGGTGCGCGCCTATCTCTGCAGCACGATGCACCTACCGGGCAGAGACCCGGCACCAGTCCACGGCCGGGCAAACAGCCGCGGACCTGTGTACCAGTAGCTCTCTATCTCAGGCGTGTTTCAAGCTATCGCGAAAAAAAAAACTAAGGGTGGCGGTACCCACCCCTCCCTCGGCCGGCAGGGTTAAAATAAGCCAATGCTTTAGAAAGGTCAGGCATAACTTTCCCTGTCCTGTATTAGCGTCAGCTGTTTTCGGTTGCATTTATCGGATGAAAGAGTTGCTCGGCTGTGAACTGCTACATTTAAGCAATACCTCATTAGACGGGACTTGTGAAGACGAACGTGTTGCTACCACTACACATGTTTGTCTCGACTAAAGGCACCCCTCCTCCCTCCTCTCCCTCTGCTATCGTAGGGTGCCGGCTGGCCAATTTTAACCTACCATTTTGTTTATGTTTAGACGTGACGTGGCTTATTACTGAAGATTTGTTACAAAAGACGTCGATGTCGGAAAGCTGCCTCTTTCCCCACTAGGGAACGTTCATTATGTAGAATCCGGGTCATAGCTTGTTCATGCGACAGCGAGTTTATTGACTGAAACAAAGTTCGCATGACTTTAAATGGAAAGACGTTGTGCATGAGTTGTAAGCACCACACGAGCTCGTTAGCTATGCAGTATGCACCAAAACGTCGTTCTCATATAATTACGAAAATAGAATAGTTATATAATAGCATACATGCAGAGCCAATTACACGATGAGGCATGGCCAGCTGTCGCACGCTCTTGTACGAGCGACGTATGTACATACGGGCAGCTATGTCAGATATTCTAGTTGACGGAGCAGCTTGACTGACTTGGACTCCGACTGCGAGACCTGCACGCATACCGATCTGTTCTGTTGTGTTTTAGTGCTTCTGCTGGCTGGTGTGGTTTCGGCACTCATCCCAGACAACATCTACCAGTGCTACAAGGATGAAAACTACGAGCTGTTCAACAGGGCCAACAGACAGGTAAACAGGCGGCAGTCGGACGAATGTCGGTCACTGGAGACAGGTAAACAGGCGACAGGAGCGAATGTCGGTCACTGGAGACAGACAGGTAAACAGGCAGCAGTCAGACGAGTGTCGGTCACTGGAGACAGGTAAACAGGCGGCAGGAGCGAATGTCGGTCACTGGAGACAGACAGGTAAACAGGCGGCAGCCGGACGAGTGTCGGTCACTGGAGACAGGTAAACAGGCGGCAGAATGTCGGTCACTGGAGACGTGAGCAATGAGCATGCTGGGACAGACTTAAGTCTTATTCTTTGAAATGATCGCATCGTATCGCAGAAAAAGTTAAAAAAAAAACTGAATGTATGGCTGTAATCAGTACATATGTAATGCTGAATGGTTGTTGACTTGATAAAGCAACTCTGATCAATTTTTTGTTCGGTAGGTATCGAATGCTTTGTAGATATCTGAAATCACTCAGTGACTCAGTAAGGAAGCACACAGGTGTCATACTACACACCGTAACTAGATAAGCGGCGATTTGTATACAAAAGCTAAAACATTTCTCATTAGAAAAGCGCTTTATATTGGAAAAAAACGGAGTTTTCAGACAGGATATGGCAAAAGGTTTTTGAGGTTATACACCGTATTCATAAACCTGTGTACGTTTTCGTTTTGTGCCGCAGGGTATGTCGATTGACCAGCTGATCGGCCTTATCGAGAAGTTGGAGCACAGTTCACAGGCACAGAACATGTCGCCACAGCGGATCACCGCCAGCCTGATGCGCCGCTTCCGATACGACGGCATTATCGACCAGGTGAGGTCCGGACTCCGGACCCATCCGGAGAGATCCGACCCGACCGGTCCAGCGGCGACCCCAGTTAAAACCCATCGTGCGAGGTAGACACCTGATACGGGCTGGCTCCCGCGGCTCCCACCTGCCACTCGTATGTCATAGCGCATACCTTTGCGACGTATTTGGTCAGCTTATCGAGTGCATCAGCACTGATTATGATCTGATTCACTTTACTTGTGCAACTGCATGTTCCTATTTGTCATGGGATTCTCGCTCATGATTACACAGTTCACAGGAGCACACTAGTCCTAATCCTTCAAATGGAAAGTGACATACTTTGAATAGTTAGTATTTTTATCTATTGACGTACGTAAAGCAAAGGCACGCAATGCTGATAATATCTGTGTACTTAGATAGTGATTGTATCGTCATATCTATGTGACTTTAGCTTTCTGTAGACACACGCTGGGGATGCCACTTTAAATGACGTTGAGGTAGAATAAACTCAAAACGACAGTGCTATTTCCTTTTTATACATAACGTCTATTTGAAAATGAACATATCGCCATATAATTATTATGCTATAAATTGATGAAAGGACAATGTTCGTCTCCAGTCGCACCATTGAATTTTGTTAGTTCACCTACCATATAATCAAAGAATTGATTAATACATAGATCGATATAAATGGACTTTATCGCTACCCTATCTCCAACCGCTGAGGTTGCCCATGTGGTGCGGCAGAAAGTCAGCTCGGAAATGTCCTCAAAGCCGTACACGATCGTCCAGCCGTCCCCCTCCCACTGCTGAGGCTGGAGCTGTATGTACACGGTCCTGTAGCCGTCCCACCGCTGAGGTTGGAGCCGTACACGGTTCTCTCCAGCCGTCCTCTCTCCCAGTGCTAATGTGGTGTGTTTCGGCAGAACGTCAACTCTGAGATGTCCTCCTACCTGGAGCCGTACACGGTCATCCAGCCGGAGAACTCCAAGTACCAGATGATGACACGGCTCGTCCAGCTGGCCAATGCCAACTTCCCCGACGAAGCCTTCACGCTGGAGGAAAGGGTAAGACATGCACTGAAAACTAAAATGATTCCGGGGGTGTGATATTAGGAGAATGGTCTAAAACGAAACCCCAATTATTCCCGTAATATACTTCAAGTAGCACCTTTTTGGCCTTAGATACCCCCAATATCCCAACATTATTACCCTAATATGCCTGTTGGATGGCTAAGTGGAATCAAAATGATTATCTGGTTATGCCTCCATTATTCTTACGAAATGCCTAGTGTATTCCCCCTGAATCTCCTCTATGCCCCTTTGATGCCCCCTAGCATAGTTCGGATGCTCCGTCTAAACCCGATCTATGCTCCTTTGATGCTATCTATATACCCCATTGATGCTCCTTTGATGCTTGCTATAAACCCCATTGATGCTCCTTTGATGCTCTCTATATACCCATTGATGCTCCTTTGATGCTCTCTACATACCCCATTGACGCTCTCTATATACCCCATTGATGCTGATTTGATGCTCTCTATGCACCACATTGATGCTCCTTTGATGCTCTCTATACACCCCATTGATGCTTCGTTCCGCAGTGGCGGATCAAGGGATGGGCTCGCGGGGTCATGCTATTCCTCGTGAGATCCCCATGAGATACCTAGCGCACTGATTTCTTTACCCACACAAAGGTAAGAGACGCCATTTATGTAACCACCTTCGCCCTTCCTCTGAATTTCCTGGATCCGCCCATGCCATCGACGCTCAGCCACACCAACAGCAACCACGATACGCTTGTGTGTATAAGAAAAACGTACTGTATTGATTGGAAAGACAACTGCCTCTGCATTCATTTCAAAATCACAGCTTCCTATAGTTGCCAAGAGACATTCAATTTGTATGTACATACTATCCATATTAAACATACGTCACGCACACGCCTCATACAATAACAAACAAATAACAAATGCCATATCACATGTTGAGATCCAGGCTGTAAAAAAACACATGACACACGAGAAGCGCCGCTGGCTCTTCTACGATGACCGTTGTTTTGCGACTCTTACGAAGGAGTCGCAAAACAACCGGTGCCCCTTCAAATGGCGTGGTTTTTCCCACCTTCGCTACACAACGAAAGTTGAGCGTGTGGCTCCTACGAGTTCTCCCTCCCTGACCTCAAGAAAGTCCGACAACGTAGCCCAGGGGCTGCCACAGGATGTCAACAGGCCCGCCCATGCCGCTTGTGACCCCTTTCCCTGTGGGGCGGGCCATCACGTCCGTCTCCATCATCTCCGTCCATCACTCCGTCTCCACTCCGCCCCTGGGCTTACCTCACTGCGCGGGCACACTATGCTGTCAGCACCGACAGATTTTTCAGCGCGTCCGCCGTCGCTGTTGACTCTGCCGGCAGCCCCATGATGTCGTGGACGATGAACCACATCGTGGAGCGCGATGCACGGGACACTTTCTGGTTGAAGACGTAGTAGGCGACCCCGAAGAGAAGGAGTGCCTCTTCAAGGCACTGGGCGCTGGCCACCACTGTTTCTTCGACCACGATGTCGAACTCGTCTCCCGCTCGTGTATCAGGGGACGTGTCATCGTCGCCGCTGGCGCCTCCATGACGACCGTTCCCTCCTCACCCAGAAGGCGCAGCAGTACCAGCGCCGCGTCCTCTGTGGATCAGGCAAGGAGGACGACGGACATATCACTTACTCATTTGAGAATATTTTTTATTCACACTAACGGCTCCAGGGATGCTCACACAATACTCAAGAGTATGAGGCAATCCCCCCCCCCCCCCAATGCATTTTGTATAAGATTGGTTGAACAGGTTTGCTTATACTCGATATGTAAGAAGTTAACATGTATCAGAGCAACGATGTTCAACTGTTGGGTACCTACCTATTTAAACAAATATAATGCTGTATAGTAATGATCTCATTTAGACATCAGAAGCACAAGTACACGCAACCTTAGAAGAACACTACATATGAAAAATGAAGGGCCTAAGTCAATCCAAGCATTTCATCGTCATTCGTCATATGAGTTCCTGCTTAGGATGGTACTCACCCTCAATAAGGCTCAATTCCAGCCTAAAAATGGCACCACTCGCAACCACACAGCACCCAACACCGCTCTTCACTGATCACCGGAAATGGCGGAGAAAAATGGCGGACCTTTGGCGCGTTCCTGATGCCTCCAGCGAAGAATCATTGAGGAATACTATGGTTCTACTCGGGTGATATCAAGAGTATTTTGAAAGAATCAGGCAAAGGAAGCATAACAGAAGAATATGAAAGCATCTCAAGGGAATATGAGCCTCCCTGTGATTCCGGCAAGATACCCTCTGGGCAATGAAAGGGTATATTGCAAGAATAGATAGAGAATCATAAAGGCATAACTATCAGCGACTGGGGTATCAACAGCATCTTATACGCACGGAATCATGCAGAATCATTTGGGGTATCAATGGCATAATATGGTTCTCACAGGGTGATATCAAGAGCTTATTAAGAGAATCAATAATTCATGGAGGTCGAGGGAATATCATGGGAATATGAAGCCAACTGCGATTCCATGAATATACCCCATAGGTATAATGAAGAGATCAAAAGGGAATAATTGGGGTATAGACTTCAATGATCAGGGCATCAGGAGATTCATTTTGGTTTTCAGTGTGTGCCCAATACGCTTACCCTCAGTGACTGAAAACAGTCTTTGAAAAAGGTAGAGATTATTTATTAATTGAGAACATGGATATCACTCACGGATGACTGAACGGTTGGGTGATTTTTCATCACGGAAAATATCATGTGTACGATTTTTTGTTTAACTGCATGCAACTATGCACCAAATATGCGCCTATGTACATGACAATAAGAAATATTGATATGCCTCGCCCCCCGCTCCTACTCCCGACAGTGCACCATGCACTGGATGCTGTCCCACTCTGTGAACGAGACGGAGCGCGAGGATGAGAACGACTACTGCGCCAGGTCGTTCCGGCGCCGACGCCGACGCCGGCGCGCCGCCCGTCGCTACAACTCGCGCAGCTCCTCCAGCGGCTCCTCGGCCAAAACCGCAGGAGGATTTGTGTAAGTGAGCGGCTCCTGCCGGAGGATCTGTGTAAGTTAGCCGCTCCTGCTGGAGGGTTTGTGTAAGTGAGCGGCTCCTGCTGGAGGGTTTGTGTAAGCTAGCAACTCCCGCCTGAGGATTTGTGTAAGCAAGCGCTCCTGCCGGAGGATTTATGTACGTTAGCAGCCAGCAGGTCCTGCCGAAGGTTCTGTGTACGTTAGCGGCACCTCCACGATAGCGGTCTCATAAGACCGCCGGAGGATTTGTGTACATACATTTTTAGGTAAGACGGGGTCGATCGGGCAAAAGTGAGCATGAACATGTCATAGGTGGCGCGTCATGAAAGCTCAAAGATAGGTAAAATGATATTGTACTATACCTACCAATGAGTTTGTCAATGCGTTGATACTAGTTAACGATTAGTTGTTTCAGAATAAAAACTCGGCAGATAGAGAACACATTAAAATTAAGCATTAGTTTTCCTTTTATTGTGTCATGTTGCGATTTGACGGAATCGCTGCTTTATTTGCAAAATTGGCTGACATTTCATTGAACGTTTCTTTCATGCAATGCTGGATATTCTGCAGCGGGTGAGTAAGCCAAGTTCTTGAGTTTATGCATCATGCAAAACAACTCAGCAGTGTCGTGTCAGAGCGACATTTCATTGCAAATCGGTTGGTTTGCACTGCTCCGACCAACATAATTACAATAGCTTGCTACCTACTAGAATTGCACTTTGAGTAGATCATTACCCACATACCAGAGCGGTATAATGTCCTACACGTAACGGGAAAATTGCAAATGGTACCTACCTATGCACTTTTCATTATCACTAAGTGTAACCGAAGGTTAATGTTCAACAGTTAAAAACACTTTTCGTAACCATTGGAGAGTTCCAGGACATATAGGTACCCACTGGCGCAACTTCACGCATCTCCATGTTTGCACAATATTTCTGCGGCGGCCGTGTTGTCTGCTCTGCCGCTAGAGCGAAAGTTGAAGAAAAAAGAGCGAAATTTGATGATTCGTGGTCCATTATCAGAGGTTTGACGGCCGGTGCTCTGACTTCAGCATGTCCCAAATAGGGAGCGTGGTTTGACGTCGGCCTGTCCCAAAAAGGGAGCGTGGTCTGACGTCGGCCTGTCCCAAATAGGGAGCGTGGTTTGACGTCGGCCTGTCCCAAAAAGGGAGCGTGGTCTGACGTCGGCCTGTCCCAAATAGGGAGCGTGGTTTGACGTCGACCTGTCCCAAAAAGGGAGCGTGGTCTGACGTCGGCCTGTCCCAAAAAGGGAGCGTGGTTTGACGTCGACCTGTCCCAAAAAGGGAGCGTGGTCTGACGTCGACCTGTCCCGGTGGTAGCGTGGTTTGATGTCCGAGCGTGGTTTGACGTCGGAGCGTGGTTTGACGTCGACCTGTCCCAAATAGGGAGCGTGGTTTGACGTCGGCCTGTCCCACATAGGGAGCGTGGTTTGACGTCGGCCTGTCCCACATAGGGAGCGTGGTTTGACGTCGGCCTGTCCCCAGCAGCGGTAACGTGGTGGAAGAGGATGCCAGCAGCTGCCCGCTGGAGCTGGGCGTCATCTACTCGCCGTACGGCACAGTGGCGGCCGGCTCACTCATAGCAGGTCAGTCGCAGACCGGCTCCTCTAGGTAGATGTAGGTCAGTGTGATGTGTATCATAGTCGCATTATAATATGTCAACTGCCCAACAACGTCACTTTCTTTCCACCACCGCGCCGCCCGGAGGTCCGTCTGATCAGGCCTCCGTGAGGCGGGAACCTCCCGCTCCCCACCGGAGGTTTGGAGGCTGAGTCCGAGAAGTCACCTAATCCTAACTCTCCCGTGGGCCTGTCCGTCCAGTACGTCTCCTCACTCCCAGCCCTACAGGCCTGTCTGTCCAGAGCGTCACCTCCCTGTCCTACAGATCTGTCCGTCCAGCACGTCACGAATCCCTCCCTTTTCTGCAGGTCTGTCCGTCCAGCACGTCACAAACCCCCTCCCTGTCCTGCAGGTCTGTCCGTCCAGCACGTCACAAACCCCCTCCCTGTCCTGCAGGTCTGTCCGCCCAGCACGTCACAAACCCCCTTCCTTTCCCTGCAGGTCTGGCGGCCGGTCTCTCCGAGCAGGACGTCAGCGTGGAGGATACCGTGGGTGCAGACACGCTCACCATGCAGTCGCTCAGCGACCAACAGCGCCGGCTGCAAATCAACAACATCTGGGCGACCACGATAGCCGGTGAGGGAGCCGGCGCGGCAGTCTGCGGCGGTCCGTGCGGGTGCACGTGATCCCTCGTGGGTACATGTGGTCCCAACTGGTCTCCGGCGGTCCCAGTGGGCCCAGGTGGCCCCAGCTGCTTGTGCGAAGCGGTCCGCGTGGGTACAGACGGTTCCCCGTGGGTACAGGCGGCTCCCCGTGGGTACAGGCGGCTCCCCGTGGGTCCAGACGGTCCCCGTGGGTAAAGGTGGCTCCCCGTGGGTACAGGCGGTTCCCCGTGGATGCAGGTGTGGGGTGGTCCCCGTGACTCAAGGGCTCCCATATGGGGCCATGTGATATCGCAGGTGCTAGGTGGCAGCGAAATATGTGGTTCCCAGTAGTTCAAAACAGATATTATGAAGGTATCTGTCCGACAGTTGCTGATGACCTGACTGCTATGACATATTGCATTGGTTTGACATAAAGGAGCGATGGACATTGTGTTACGTGGAGACCTTGAACCACTATGTATAAGTGGCTACTTTTTTAATATAGCACTAAATGTACCTATATCAGAAGTCATTATCAGGTTGCGTTTCTGCTGTTCCATAGGGAGCTGTTAATGTGTGTGCTTCGTAAATTTATTTCAAAATGTAGCTCACTAACCAATAAGCATTTTATATCACACAGTAAAAAATTGTTCAATGTCTGCTTTCACCTTAAATTCTCTCAGCCAGCCGCCGCTTCTCCCCATTGACCCCGCGCCGTGGCTCTCCAACCCCCTGACCCCTGCCGCGGCCCCGCCAGGCGACATTGCTCAGACGGCGCTGCATTACGAGGGCGGCGGTCAGAACAACAACGCGCCGCAGGTGATCGGTCCGACCGGCTACTGGAACTGCACCTACTGCCCCCACGAGTACAACATGCCCGACAGCGACGCCATCTCGGCGCTGACCAACGCAGAGATCTACGGAGGCATCGACGGTAGGCGCAGCTGGGCTCCTCGGAGACGACACTCGGCCGATGGCACGGACATGGGCTGGGCTCGGAGACGGTTCACGGCCGATGGGACCGCTGTCGAAAACGAAAGCTGCGTATCTGCAGTCACGCTGCTCCCGGCTGATTCGACCTAAAAATTGATTAGTTAGGCTACTTGATCAGGTATATTTTATTGAATCAGATATGCTTTGTTACTTACTCAGGCATACTCGTTGAAAAGCGCGAGTGCATATGGCGCGGTTCGGATCCGGGTGTGTCGGTGTGACCGTGCCGTGGCGCCCGCAGGGTACCTGCTCGGCTCGCAGATCTACCGCTGGTCCAAGCAGACCGGATTCCGACTGTCGTCACTGCTGCGTATGTACTACTCTCCCGATGGGGTGAGCTACGACCGCCAGTTCCGCGCCTGCGACCGGCTCACCAACTTCCTCAACGATGACCTGGTCAACCAGGACACGCTCAAGACCCAGGTCAGTGCGAAAGACCCAGGTCAGTAGGGGAGAGTGGGGCAAAGCGGCCACCCGGGGCAAAGCGGCCACCCATCGTTTTAGCCCGCCACAGCTGGCGTCAGGTCCAATATATGGTTGTCAATTATTCTCCTCTTTGCGGTCGTCCGAATGAGCCAGACCAGAGTTTCCGGCCCGTCGTCATTTTTCTGTGGTACACGGAAAAACATTTCTTGCCAGGTTACTAACTATTTTTACGATTTTTAAATGTTGTTTTATTCATACCCGTTTGGAATTTTACTTAAGCGCTCTTGTTCGTGCATTATGTGGTTATCATATTTCTTTTTTACCAATTTTAATGCCTTTGTCCCACTAATAGCTAAGCTGGAATATTTTTTGTCTCTGACGGTATGCTCGGGGCAAAGTGGACCGGGCAAAGAAGACGGGGCAAAGTAGCCAGCTCCGAAAAGGTCATAAGTTGTTTCCATTTGCAAAACAAACGCTATTTATATTGCAATGTGTCGTCATGCATTCATCTCGGCCACTTGTCGGTTACATGAGTCACCAAATAATGTAATTAAATGTTATTCTATGAATGCTCTTTCCTTGTGTACCTACAGGTGGGAAGATGAGAAATTAAACATCAATCCTTGTTTATACCTTGTCACCGCCAAATACCCTAGTCGTACATGAGGCAACTATTCTATTTCTCATATTGGGACTTTAAAGTCACCGGTGGCCACTTTGCCCCAGTGTATGGGGCAAAGTGGCCAAAATGCATAGGTTTAAAACCCTCGCCGGCCGAGGGGGGGCGGGTGCCGCCCCCCCCCCCATAGGGTTTTTTCGCGATAGCTCCGAGCACGCTGGCGATAGAGAGCTGAAACTTGGCATACCTGACCTTTGATTCAAGCCGGATCTTTTGACACCAACCGCATTTTTGGGTCAGGTCAGGTCACTGACCTATGACGTCATAAGTGAACCTCTGCACGGTCTTCAGATGTCGCAACTTCGCAACGCCCTCACTGCCAGAGGAGATGTCACAGGGAAATGAAACTTGCAGGATCTAGTATCCATTATGAGTCTCACAACTTGTATATCTCGGATTTTTCCTAAAGGTCATATGAGGTCAGGTCATTTTCGTGACCTCACCATTATAAGTCAATGGGGAAAAATGAAAACTGCTATTCTGGCGCCGGGAACTATCTGCAACTATCTCAAGCACACAGAATCGTGATTTGATGCACTCCTTGCAAGGTTAGATGCGTCACTTTTGCAATGTTGACCTTGCGTGATGTCATTTATGACGTCATCAAGGTCATATTAGTTTTTCGTCAATAACTCTTGATCAAATTGAGCTAGCGAGTCGGGAAAGCCACCAATGAACTCAGGAAGACCTGCCGAATCGAATGATATGCGATATGACCTATTTCGACCAACTTCGTGACCTTGGGGTGCTGACCTGACCTTGACCTGAGGTCAACACCCTAAGTTGACCTGACCCGGACAAAAAGTATACCATTCGACACGCCTGAGCGAGACGAACACGATGCTGCCAAAATCGGCGCTCTGCGGCCGTTTTTTGCGAAGTTATTCACCAAAAACTGAGCCGTACCTTGGGGCACTTGACCTGACCTCAGAGGTCACCAGTTGACCTAGGACCTTAAAATCGGGTACCAATCTCTGCGTCTCGTAACGGCGCATACGCTCGTTTTTTCCGCGACGCGCTATCTCCACCAGGGGCGAAACGGCGAGGGGGGGGGGTCGTACCCGCCCCCCCCCTCGGCCGGCGCGTATGTAGAAAACCAATAGGTCCGGCGAGGGTTAACCCGCGCCCACGGGGGGGGGGCATTCATAGCCCCCCTCCCGTTTTTCTGCATTAACTTCTAAGCCGCTTGACGTATCGACGCCCAGCTTTCAATACCTTCGGCTGCATCAATTGGACAGCTTGTGTCAAAATATGAAGTTCGTAGCTACCATAGGTCGGCCGGAAATGACGTCAGAGTGACGTCATGCTCGGCCGATTTCGACGCAAAACATTGAACCGCAGCAATCGCTCCCAAGAGCCCAGTTTTTCAGGTAGATCCAATTTCTTGCATGGGAGGACTTAAAATAGACTGCGCTATCAAACTGTTTTCTCGGATTTTCCAGATTTTGAAGATTTTGAAAAGTACCTATATATATTAAAATTCAAAATTTATATTTTTACCTTTTTTCAAGAAGTTTTTGACTTTTCGAAAAAAAATACGGATTATATGTCAGAGAACACATGCCTATGACTCACTCTAGCAAATTTTAGCCAGATATCTTCAAAAATGGCCAAGTTATACCAGGGGCCTCGCCGACGGGGGGTCGCAGGGGTCGCGACCCCCCCCCCCCACTCGTGAGAACCGGGGGGGTCGACCCCCCACTTTTGGCGATGCTGAGTATGCTTTTTTGAGCTATCATGTCAGTGAAGTTGGCGTCAGCAACATCAACAAATATCGTCAGATTCAGAATGGCTTCAAGAGCTACCAAGTCCCTATTGCTTATGGGTCAATAAGCTGCGGGCGTGGAACATCAGCATGACAATATTTTAAAGTAGCCACTATTCTAATCCCTTTTATCCCTCATAGGAGTGAGCGCGCCAAAACTGACCCAACCGCTCGTCTGATTACGAGCGAGCGAGCGCAGCGAGCGAAGTGAGTCTTTTCAATATAACGGAAAAATCTCAGTATGAGCGGCCCGGCCCGGCCCGGCCCGGCCCGGCCCGGCCTGTAACGCTTTTGAGAGGCTTATATCTCAGCAACCGCTGGACCGATTGGCCTGCGGTCTTTTTTGTTGGGTAGCCCCATCCCTTCTACCCCGTAATTGACTACTTTTGATACATCTCAGTGACCGTCGTGGCACGTGCCACGTGAAAAGTCAAGGGTGTTCAAGCTGTTTTGCAAAAGTAGTGATTTTGAGAGGCTCATATCTCAGCAGCCGCTCGGGCGATTGACTTGCGATAATTTTTGTAGGGTAGCAGCATCCCCTCTACCCAAAATAGGATACTCTCGATGCATGTGGGTCACTCCCAGTGCACGTGCAAAATACAACAATAAGAGGTGCCAAATTTGTTCCCATTTCAGTAACTCGGTAATTACTGGGGCGATTTCGCTGAAACTTGGCATACAGGTAGGCACCCACCAGGCAATGCATTCCCATGTGTTGCGGTTAGGGTGCTACTGCACGTGCGCACGTGCAGGGGGCGTTTCCAGATCTCGAGAACGGCTGGGCCGATTGCGCTCAAATTTGGTACACGGTTGGGGACCAGTTAGTAGGGTGCCGTGCAAAAGTCATTTTGGACCCCGTTTGCACGTGCGCACGTGCAGAATGCCGCTTCCAGATCTCAAGAACGGCTGGGCCGATTGCGTTCAAAGTTGGCACACCGCTAGCGACCGGTTAGAAGGGTGCTTTGCGCAAGCCCGTTGGAAGCACCCTCTCGCCCTTCCGCACGTGCAGGGCTCACTATCTCGCTCGCTCGTTCTTCGCCCAAAAGGCGTTTTACTGGTTGTTAAAATAATGGTTGCAGTCGATTCGTCGGATGACCTATCAGTAACTACGAGGTACGGCTCTTGCGAGATTAAGCGGTAGGCATTTTGCACTTTTACATTTCCGGTTATATCTCAGAAACTAATCGATCTACGATGAAGCCAATTTACACGATCATGGCCGGCCTGTGATCCAACAAGTCGATCGCACCTTCAACACTTAAAAGCTTAAGACGACGAAGATATAGCCTGAAGTACACTAAATTTTCTAGGTGCAAAACCTACCGCTAAAGTAAAACCCGCGAGACCTGTACCTACGCGGACCTGCCTGCATGGGGGGAATGGGGTCAGATGGTGGACTCCTCTCGGGCTTTCCGCGCAAAATGACGTCGTTTCGCCTATTGCAACGAAACTTCCAGTGACCTCGAGTTAATCAATTTTACACCTACTCTAAAAAAATATTGGCCCTGATTCGAATATAGCTGACCTTGGTTCACTTTTTTAGTTTTATTTTCTTCCACTTACAAGTGTAGTTTTTGGAACTGATTTCGAGCTTAGCGCCGGTTTGAACATAAGAAGTACCTAGTTTTGATAAATGGTGGTTATGTAACATTTACGAAGCTATCGTTGGTGGTTGTCAGTTTTCACCCACTCTAGATGGCCGGCAGGAAGCCTGATGGTCGACCTGACCTGAACCGACCCGATATACCCCAAATGCATGGAAATGCATGGAAATCGTACTCGGGACCCCGATAACAGCTACGGCCCACAAAGTTCTAGCAGGCCAGATTTTTCCTTCTTTTCTTTGGGCGTTGACCTAAGATGACCCGGCCAAGACCTTGGAATTGGGCATCATCGGTTTCTCTCATCACGGGCAGCATCCTCGCTTTTCCGCGAAGCTCTACCTCGATCAGGGGCCGAAAGCATACCTTAGCGTTGCGTTGGTAAACGTTTTACCTTAGCGACCCGTAAAACACGAATAAGTGCTACAGCGACACAGAAAGCGTATTCGATAGCTTTTTTAAAGCTCTTTCGCCAACTTCGCCTCAGATATGACTTCGGGTCTATGGCTTGTGTACCACTGTGTACCAGAGGCCAAACAGCTCTGGCAGAGCTGTTTGGCCAAACAGCGGACGGATTTTGCCAAAACATTTATTCTGTAACAACCTATGATTCAGTGGTTGTGTATGATATTCATATTATCACCATCGTGTTTGTTTCGTCGAAACACGTCGCATGGCTTACAATTTGAACTTGGAAATTTAACTAGAAAACTTGACATCAGGTAAAGGTCATGTCCTGACCGGAAAAGAACCTGCTGCATATGGATCGATCTGTGTTGCTGAGCTGAACACACTCCAGGTGCTGTCATCGCTCTACAGCGTCTCCACCGAAAGTTGTTGTCGAAAATGTGTTAGAGACCCTTGATGACCCAATGACTGACCAATTGACCATTCGAGTCACCATCTGGTCATTAGTTGCACCTTATCTCTAAAATGAGCAGAGGTGCCATGGCTACAAAAGTGTCTAGCGTTTTTAGCAAATTCGTTCAAAGCAGAGGGCATTCGTGCCTTTCCCATATCTTATCATGATTGGTGAGGTCACATATTTGACCAGACTTCACTTCTCAGATGTAAAATCCCAGATTCATGAACTGTTGGCACTTATAGTCCCATTCATTACACTAAATTTCAGACTTTAGGAGATAATCTATAGGAATGAAAAGATTGCAGTTTTTGAAGCATTAAAACTGAGCTTGACATGACATTGTGACCTGACCTCAGGTGACCTGTGCTTGATTTCTATGCACGATGCAAAAGTGATGTACAATAAGATATACCGCTGCTTTCGTGGCGCTGGGCACCGATGTTTTTCTCAACACACGGAAAAAACGGGAGTGTAGCTAAAAACACCCCTATCCATCAAGACGAAGACCGGTAACCCGACCCCCCCCCCCACTCAAAAATCCGTGGCGACGCCCCTGCTAACTGCATTAGGTATAGCAAAAAGTTCACGATTATAAATTTTTCAAGTCAGTTTTTCAGTACGTATTTGACACCTTACACGAATATAAATAGCACCATCGTGTTGCTGAGCTCAAACTGCATCCGATAGGCACTTTTTGTTGAAAATTTTCAACTTAAAATTTGATTTTTTTTTTACCTGAAAGTGGCCTGACCTAAGCTATATTCAAGTCAAAATGACCTTGAATGACATAAACGACATCGAATTCGAAATCTATGGCCTAAATGGACCAAAAAAACATGTGTCTGGTGACCGATGCATGACATAAGATTTCCGTGACCTGTGATGACCTGACGCTGACCTGAAAATCACAGTACAAGTTTGGTACCCTTAGGGTATCTAAAGCATCTGTTCACAAGTGTGTAAACTAAAAATGAGCCCGATCTGACTTGTAAGACGGCGTTCAGAGCCCAAAACATGAACAAGCCAATTGTCGATAATTTTTAATTTGACCTGACCTTTGACGTCATCGGTGACCTCGAGGTCAATGAAATTAGGTTTCACTCGACAGTTTTTCCGGGGCTATCAGACGCCGTTTGTATTTTGACGATCGGCCCAGTAGTTTCGGAGTTAGGAAGGGGGCTATGAATGGCCCCCCCCCCCCCGTAGGGCGCGTTATATGCAGACCCCAGTGAGGCGCGGGTTAAAGCTTTGCTAATATTTCTCATATGTGAACGCCTTTGGAAATAAAACGGAGTTGAAATAAAAGACAATTTAATAGGGATCAAATTGGCATAGAAAGAATCTTTCAAATTTTAAAAATTAAGCGTTGGCATTGTAAGAAGCGTTAGGGTGGCCGCTTTGCCCCACTCTTCCCTGCGGGGATAGCGTAGGGCTCGGATGTCAACTGAAGGGTTGGGGATGAAATAAATGATGAAGTTGGAAAGCGGCGACTCACAGTTAGGATGCCACAACTAATGTAATGTGGTACACTTGTATTGTAAGCAAAACGGCCCGCGTTTTTTCAATTCGTTGCTGGCTATCGTTTGCGTGAACGGATGAGTCGATTGCCTCACGTCGTCTGGCGTGTTACAGGCGGTCAACTTTGGCTTTGCCTACTACTCGGCCGACCTGGGCCGGATGCCGATGCTGAACCAGGAGAGCCTGGACGAGGCCATGGACACCCTGATGACCAATGTCATCGAGCAGCTGAACGACTTCGCGGGTGAGATGACCGGCCAAACTGAACAATAAACCCTACCTGTTCACTTCCAATTCCCCGCTCGGATATCGTTGCATGATATAAAAGAAAAATTGCGTTGCAAAAATACGATTTCAGGATTAGTGGATTTATGTATATTGCATAAATAGGTGGATTTATGCATATTGCACGCATTTCAGCCATGTGGCGTGTATGTAATTGCACGCATTTCAGCCATGTGGCGTGTATGTAGTTATATCTGAACTCACCACATTACATCACAGACAATTCATCATTTCATAAACATGACGTCTTGTCTGTTGGCGTTCAGCGTGTCATTCACCCATTTGCCGGTCAGTTAGGTTAGGGCGAATCGGCTAGCGTTAGAGCACACTCAGTTTCGATATCAGGTGACAACTTAATCATGTATGGTTATGTTTAGTGATGTCAATTACGGAAAATCGTGATACCGATACCAAACCAAATACCAACAAAAACCATGAGAAAATACCGAAACCGCACCGACTTTGGAAAATGAGAAAAATACCAACTTTATACCAAATTAGCTGCCTCTTTTACATTAGTCAGGATTCATAATACCAACACAATACCGAAAGCCTTAGTATTGAAATACCAAATACCTACCAAGTTGGTATCGGTTTGGTAACGGTATACCAAAAAGTTGATATCCGATTGACATGTAGTTATGTTGTTCTATAGGTTTTTACTTGAGACTCGGTGTTTTCTTATTTGAGATTTATCGTCTCATATGTTCTTTTGTAGGCGGGTATGAGGTATACCACATTGCGCCAATTCTGTACCTATAGCGTATGTTTATGCAGATATTTCTTCTTATGCTGTTTCGTGCAAAAGCATTGGCCAAACCATAAAACAGCTGACCTCTGAATGACCCTGATTTGGCATAGAGCGTGCCGCGGGCGTCTGGGTGTGCCCCAGAGCTGTGACCTGACCGTGACTGACCGGCCAGGTAAGTCGATGACTGATGACGGCCCCGGCTGCAAGAACGTGCCGGCGCAGGGCGCCACCCCCGACGAGCCGACGTGCTCCACCAAGGCGGACGTGGTTGCCGTGTTCGACCCGAGCGTCAGCGGCATCGGAGCGCAGGCGCAGAAAATCTTCCTCTCGTGAGTCCATCGGACATTCTCTGTTACACCTCTGTTTCTGTCGTGAGTTCCTGGAACATTTTTTTTTCGTTTGCCCATTTTTGGCACCATTGCGTGCCCGTGCGTTTTCAACAGCAGGGCAATGATCAGGGTGGACACTTGTTGTCCTTTCCGGGGAAACTAAAAACTCTAGTTCGGCAGTGCTGCGATGTCAGAGCTACCACCGACACTGCACCTTCCCGTTCACACGCTCATGTCTTCCCTAGCGCATTGCACAGCCAGGGTACCCTGAGGGACGCAGCCGCCCACCAGCCCTCTCTGCGGCCGACGGGCGGGTCTCTGGCCGGAGCTGAGCTCCCATAGGCAGCGTGCTATTGCACTGTTCCGACCCGCCGTGTGTTTCCGATGTTCGGCGCAGGGAGCTGGCTCTGGCGCTGGACGTGGGCTGGAACAAGTCGTACATGCACCTGGTCAGCGGTGAGGACGGCGCCGTGCTGCTGGACAAGTGGAACTACACCAACAAGGCGCGCCTGGCCTGCGACATCCAGCGTGTGGACGGTGAGAGGCTGGGTCGGGCCCGACACCCGCTACCGTCCCAGCTCCGACACCGGCTAAACACTGGGAGCGGAGCCCTCCTGTGACTTCCACGACTCTTGTGAAACACCAATTTTTGAAATCTGAAATTGGTTATAAGCTTTTCAGTGCTTTTCGTGCTCCGGAATCGACTTATTTTATTCGATTATTTTTAAAATATTATATTATTCGATCATTTTCATCCTAGCTTCTCTAAAGTAGTTAGCTAATGATTCACCTTTTGCTCATCCGGCTGCTCATGCTGGCACTCCTTCATCACCTCGAAAGTATGTATGTATATAATCAGGTAGTTCAAGTTATGAGACATTCATCATATCTGAGTGATTGCTGCTTTTATACGAGTTTTGTTTGTCATTTGCGTTTTACTTAGGTATTTTTATCGGTGTGGTACCCATAACCATTGTTTTCTTATTGTTTTCGATCACAGTTATGCTTATTATATTTGAAATTAAGGAAGCTGAACATTGTCACATGACAGGTAAATACGAGTATGAATATAAACGTAGCGCAATTCCAGATTCACTAGCATAGCGCACATGTCAACCAAATGATGCTGAGGCGGTGTCTAAGAATTATTTTTGTATGCATATTATTAGACTTACAATATCATATTTCAATTTCCAAATGATAACCTTTTGTGTACCCAGCTCCGGTACGATTTACGCTGTTTTGTCTGATGTGTTTCAGTTCCGGACGGGCAGTACGACCTGGTGGCTACTCTGTACCGTCTGATGACCTACTACGCCGATATGCTGGACCAGGAGGCCAACGATGTGAGTACGGGCCGGCGTCTGTTGGCGGTTGGCTGCAGAGCGCGGAATACACGGACCACCGGGTGACACGGAATCGGTTACAGCGGCCCAGAGTCGGCCATGAAGTCTTTTGAAATTCCATGGTAATAGGCGGCATCTGTGCTGAGTTATTGGACTTCGACTGTTTACAATTTGCATGGTGTTGAACAATGTGCAATGTAAATGTTTCTATTGTGTTTTCCTGTTTCATATTACTTTGCTTTGCTTCCCTGGTGGTCATAAATCCAACCGAACTTCATTGGAATGTTCCTTAGCTGCTCATTCAAGGACATTTAGCGTACTGTGAGTCGAATATGGTCACCATAAGTAACAATTCATCGTATACCTGATGCTATGTTCAAGGCCATTGAAAATCGTTACTCATCATTTTCCACATAACCTACCTATCGCGTCGAAATCATATGCAATATTTCGTTAGAATGTTGCGACATGTTTTGTAACTAGCGCAAAGCCCGTCACTAGAACCGTAAAACTGATGTTACTGTTGCTGTTCATTAGTTACTGTCAGAATGGCGGTCGAGTTGCTCGCCCACTGGCGTGATGCGGAAAACGGTCGAGTGTTTCCCTATCGATGTAGTCAAACCCCAGCTTGAGCAGCCCTGGCTCTACCTAGCTCGTTCCTGACGGAGATGGTTGGGATCATTGGCAGCTATTCGGTCCGTTACTTACAGGCCAAATTTCGACGGCTAACGAAAAAATCACGTGTGAGATGATGTGGACAGGTTATCGTACAAATCTAAATTCTACCGTCGCTAGCCACCTCTTCCGGTCAGCGTAAATGGTCAGGGCCTGCGCATTACGCTCCACAGTCCATATGGCGATGTCATGTGTGTCTCTGACTGCACTGCTGACTTGGCCTCAGACACCTCTCGGGCAGAACGACGCTCCACTTCTCACGGGTGGCCAGTTGCCTGGAATGGTAGGCTGTGCCGCATCACACGGGCTGAAATAACAGTAGGTATGGCCCTGTGGTGTGGCGCGATTTCGAGAGAGTCGGCACCGACTAGCATTTCAGTCAATTGATAGCTTGTGAGGAGTGGAACATCATCCTGCAGTCATGATGTAGGTATACATGCGTACCTACATCATGCATAAATTTCGATTTATTTTGAAAGATAACACAACGCACTGAAATAGTTAGGTTACAGTTGAGCGTCATGAAATCTACAGTTACAATCACATAATTGATCCTAATGGCTGGCAATCCAGACATTAGTTACTAACTCACAAGTCAAACTCCTTATTTTTGTCCATGTCGGTAAATCCATATATCAAAATGTTCATAGCCCTGAGAAAGGAGCACGAGCTCCGTTGTCCTCGTTCTGATTTCTTTTAGTCCTCCTTGCCTCCGTCGGACGGCCGTCGTCGTCTGAGCTCTGCATGTGAGCTTTGTGTGTGTGAGCTCTGTGTGTGAGCTCTATCCCAGCTCTGTGTGTGAGCTCTATCCGAGCTCTGTGTGTGAGCTCTGTGTGTGTAAACTCTGTGTGTAAGCTCTGTGTGTAACTTCTGACTGTAACTATGTGTGAGCTCTGTATCTGAACTCTGTAGCTCTGTATCTGAGCTATGTGTGTAAGCTCCGTATGCTGGCTCTGTGTGTGAGCTTGGTGCGTATTGTGTGAGCTCTGTATCTGAACTCTGTGAGCGGCTATCTGAGCTCTGTGTCTGAGCTCTGTGTGTCTCCGTGCAGGGCGCCTCTCGGTCCAACACCCAGGTGCTGCTGCTGATGAGGTTCGGCAGCGGCTTCAGCAACAGCGACGAGGACATCACCACCATGCTCAACAACCTCTGCGAAGTGTTCCCCGGTGAGCGAACCGCCCTGTGTCGCGAAAAATCGGGGTGCTTACAGGACTTTTGTCTGACAGAAGCGCATTTCAGTTTATTTTCTCTCCCATTAACTTGCTGAGGAGGTCGCTAAAATGACATGATTTTATTTCACCAATGTCAATCATCCAAGATAAAGGTTAAAGCAGGCCCTCTGAGAAGATAAATTTGACCAAACCTTTATGAATCCCTGGAAGTTTCAAAGCAATGATTAAGTCGTGCAGTCGTACAACTTCAAGATAAGGGCAAACATAGAGACCGGTGACACATCAGCCCGCGGCCATATTCTATCGTTGCCCAACGTTCCGCAATCTGCAAAGGAGTCCGGAATAGTCATATGGACGAAGTCCGCTGTTGCACACTCGATTGAGCAGATAGCAGGTCCTGAAGCCGGCCTTATCATGCCGTAGGTATGTCGAAACCCACTCGTAGCGGCGCCACAAAGGGCGACTGATTCCGTCTAATCACTCTCCGGACTCTTAAGCATTTAAATGATTGGAGTGGCATTTCCTTTGCATGAGTAGGTACTGTAGGTAGGTATGAGAGGCTGTTAGTGTTGCATCCCAGTTAAATGTTCCACAGAAGAAAAACGATGACTGACAAGCAGTGATACTTCACATGTTGTCCGTAACATAATGCAACTTTTCTTTCATTTTCCAAGCAACACTAAGCGCGATATCTTTTTAATACGGTATAGTGGCGAAGTGTACCACACAGTAAGTACACTTGCGAGCATTCTTACTGACACTTATCATGAACCGTCATATCGATAGTGCCCATTCGAATTCGACCCAACGAATCTCGAAACCCCACAGCTCGTGCTGTGTTTCTTTTCCTGTTTGGAAACAGGAATCGCCATATCTATAGGGGTAGGTGTATATGTAAATGGAGCACCAGCCGAGCTGACAGCCGCTGCCTCTGCGTCGCGCCCGACGCCCGCAATATCTCCGGCAGACATCAACATCATGACGGTGTCGGACAGCCAGGGGTCGTTCAGTAACATCCAGCAGGCGATGGACCGGCGCCAGTTCCTGGCCGACAACATGTTCGCGTCCGAGTCCTCTCAGCGCGCCACCCGCGAAACCCTGGTGCCGGAGGTCATCACCAACATGTGCCACGGTAAGCTAAACGGCAGCGGGACGCCGGGCTGTGTGCAGCGCTGGGCTGGGCTGGCGGTATCTCAGCTCCGGTAGTCAGTGCCACAGCACTCCGGCTGGTCAGTGGCGAGCGTGACCTCGGTAACGTGACCCCGGTAAGGTTAAGTAAGTTGATCTCGGTAAGGTGACTGACCTCGGTAAGGTAAAGTAAAGGTGATCTCGGTAAGGTAACTATGCATGACCTCTGTAAAGAAACGGTGACATTGGTAAGGTAAATGTGTCCTCGATAACACCTTGAAGGTGTACTAAGCTGTACTGTATGCGGGTGAGCGCTGCACTGTTCGGTGGTAAGTGGCTCCCCAGCCGACCGATATGTATGCCGTGACCGCGCACACCAATGCTTAGCGGCACTGTCAAGTATCAACCTGCACTCAGTGTTTGACTCTAGTCCTCTCAGTTCACTTCAGCGGGGGGGGGGGCATGGTGCTTGAGATTCCATGGCACTAGAGGAACTTGCAAGCGACATATATCAACGTGGCAATGTGCTGGTTTGTGCACCTCGCCTGACGTCCCACAGCGCCGTCCCGGTTCGTGTAGTTATGTAGCCTGACGTGTAGACTTATGTGCAGCCTGATGCCCTGTTCTGTACTCCTGTTCTGTACCGCACAGCGTTGTCCCGGTTCGTGTACCCCGCCTGACGCCATGTTTTGCACCCTACAGCGCCGTCACGGTTCGTGTACCCCGCCTGCCACACGGACGACCCAATGTTCACCAACGTCAACGAGGGTAACCACGAGTACACCTACTACGTCGAACCCAACAAGGTGACCTACCTGCGGGTCGGGCCGCAGCAGTTCTTCTCCAGCAACGACCTCAAGATCCAGGTCAGTGCCCGAGATGGAACGGACGGTATCCTGTACTCCAGTGACCGATTTCATGGGATGGATGGTGTCAGAATGTTCCACTGGTGATGTTTTAACTTCGTTCTTTTCATAATTGTGATCGCTGAATCGGATATTTTATGCGTTTAGAAAGTTCGATTGTGACGCACTGCTATGGGCATCGTCTTTCATTAGATCTTAAACACAAAGATGTCTATTCAGCTGCTATCGGGAGAGATATGCGCCCGTTAGCGCGTCTGTGTGCTCGTTTGTCTGAGCGCCGTGTACTGTTTGACCGCCGTGGTGTCTGAGTTTTCGTTGGTCTGAGCGCCGTGTACTGTTTGACCGCTGTGTCTGGGTTTTCGTTGGTCTGAGCGCCGTGTGCTATTTGCTCCGCTTCAGTTCGAGTCGGTGTACGGCCCCCTGCAGGTCTGCCTCAGCCGCACCGATCCGCAGGCCCCTGTCGACGCCGATGACGCCCAGTGCGTCTCCACCGGTCAGTCCGCGACGGAGCCGACGCGAGGAGCGAGCCGCGCGCCCGTACCGACGCGAACCCGCACTGACACGGCGCACTCACACCGCCGAGGGCACAACTGACGAAACTTTCTGTACCCTCGCATTGATCAATTTTACACCTACCCTGAAAATTTCATGACCCTGACCCCAATGACCTTTGACCTGTGACCTCTTTTCTGTGACCATGTTTGGCCGAAATCGCGGTTCGGCGCGTGTCGGCTCGCATTAGCCGCGCGTTTGCAAGCTTTTCGTGGTTTCAAACGTTCAAACATGTGATTTGATGTTGCTCCCATGCATTAGGGTGGGTGTCAAGGTCACCTGAAGGTCAGGTCAGGTCATTGACCTTTGGTGACCTCGGGTGACCTCGGTTCACTTTTTCGAGTTTTACATGTTTCTAGGCTAGTTTTTGGAGCTGATTTCGAATTTAGCAACCATTTGAACATTTACGAAGTAGTTTTGGTGCCTTCGTAACATGTTACGAAGCTGTCCGAGGCGGTTGACACGTATTACGAATACCCGTCACAATCCCTACCGGTTGACCTGACCTGACCTGACCCGACCTGGTCTAAATGCTTAAAGACATCATCTCTGATCAAAACTAACACGATATTCGTGATCAGCACCCCGGAAAACCACATAGCAGCCACACTTTACGACACAGGTCCCGATTTTTCCGGTTTTCGGGTCATTGACCTGACCTGGAAGGTCACCCGATGACCTAGGACCTTAAAATTGGGTATCATCGGCTTCCTCTCGTGACGGGCAACACGCTCGTTTTTTTTTTTCGCGAAGCTCTAGCTCGATCAGGGGCCAAACGCGAGGGGGGGTCGTACCAACCCCCCCCCCTTGTGCCGTCGAAGGACTCAAAATGGCCTGTGCCGGCGAGGGTTAATATATTCGCTAACGTTGACTGTAATGAAGCAGGTTTCGTCTCTGCGTTCAAGACTTACAATGTTTGGCTGCATGATACGAGTACACTTTTGCACACCCTCAGAGGTCAAAGGTCGGTGGCTATATATTTGATATCTGTTTCCGTTGTCCCCCTGCCCCCATTGTGGTCTCGGTTTCCCGCCGTAACCCTCCTCCCCGCTGCGCGGCATCCGTCGTCTCCCCGGCAGAGTCCTCCCAGTCGAGTCAGGTGGAGTTCGAGCTCGGCACGCCCTGCTCCGAGGACCAGATGAACGACGACTGCCCGCCGCTCTACTTCTCCATCCAGCAGAACCCCGAGAAGACGTCCGCCATCTCCGTGTGCACAGGTTTGTGACCGCATAAACCCCGTCTGCACTGAGTTTGTATCCGTAACCTCCGTCTGCACAGGTTTGTATCCTTATTCCGTAACCTCCGTCGGCACAGGTTTGTATCCTTATTCCGTAACCTCCGTCTGCACAGGGTTGTGCAGTGCTCTGTGGGGAGTGGGTTCACTGAAAGAGCTCCCGTCATCTCTAACAGCCTGCGAATGTATGTATGTCCCGATACGTGGAGTAGCGAGGCATGCCGTGAGCGACTCAGGTTCACATGGTCCGGGCGGGGTCTCCCCGTCAAAGACTTACTTATACCTGATGCTCATCAATAAAGTCTCAGTCAGCACGACTCCATCTCCTTTTCAGACGACGAGTGCCCGTTCCCGGACAGCATCCAGTTCACTATCACACACGAGAACATGCGCTGCAACTCGGCCAGCGGTGCGACGCTGTCTCTGCTGCTGCTGGGGGCCGCCGCTGGCCTGCGCCGCCTGCTCGGCTAGGCGGCGGTAGGCGGGTGACAGGCGGCGGTAGGCGGGCGCCGCCTGTTCGGCTAGGCAGTGGTAGGCGGGCGTCGACCGGTGCTGTGCAGTGACTCGTGACCGGTGAGCGGTCGCTGGGCTGGGGAAGTCAGTGGCCGAGTGGTAGGGTAACTGAGCTTAGACGGGGACCGAGCTTATTGTGCCGAGGGGCGCCGAACGAGCGGAGCTCTGTGTTAGATCGGCAGTAGCGACTGCTATGTTATACTCGCTGACCCCCGGCGGTATCGCTGAGACCCATCATTGATTATAGAGCTGGGTGACCCCGTCTGGATACTGCGTAAACCTGCGTATATGCTGGCAAAGACACGTGTAGATTCTCTTCGATTTTGTTTAAATCCCTCCCGCGATTCACGATCAATAAATAAAGCGGGTTGCATGTGAGCGGGTCCCAGTTTCCCTGCAGGTGTTTTTTGAGAGCGGGTTATATGTGAACTGTATGACGGGTCCCAGCTGGGGGCCATTGTTCCCAGTGTATGTGCTTTGCTGTTACTAGTGAGTGCCCCTTCCTGAAACGAAATCCAATCAACAGCTTCTAAGAATAGTGTTGATGGCACATTAATCAAGCCTTACTATCCTTCCTTTCTGTTTCTGGTATCGTTTTTGTGTGCAATCAGTCGTGATGGGGCGGATTTTCACACCAAATAAATGATTTAATTGGTGAAATGCCGTCCGTTTGGCTTTTCGTAGGGCCCAGTTGTTGATTACTCTATATTGTAGAACAATGCTGTAATTTAGATATTGGACATTGGACAAGTTATCATAGTAGGCTTTCGTTGGTGAGCATTCAGTTTTATATTACCCATGAAAAATATGTTATGCAGTTCATTTGGGGAAGTATTTTAAGCAGAAGTGCGTATTGCGAACCCCCGCAAATGTGGTTTACAGGCAGTTCCATAAGAATTATCCCGTTGTCGCTTAACATGTTAAGAAATTGGCGTTAAATGTCGTCAGGTCTAAGGCTGCATGGCCCAGAAATCGGATGTGATTCACACAGAAGTTCGTGTCAAATGAATGAGCCGTGCTCTTTTCAAATAAATCAACAAAATATTAAGTGTTTTAGAAAGGAACTAGATGGACAGCATTACGCGCAGCGTAAAGAGGGACAGCATTACGCGCAGCGTAATAAGTCAATTTTCAACCAGTATAGCGCCTTTTGGGGCGACTAACGGAGCGAGCGAGGGGGTGAGTCTTGCACGTGCGAAATTTCGAGGGGGTACCTCCAACTGACTTGTGCAGGGCACCCTACTGACTGGTCTCTAGCGATGTGCCAAATTTGGGCACAATCGGCCCAGCCGTTCTCGAGATCTGGAAGCGGCACCCTGCACGTGCGCACGTGCAAAATGGGTCCCAACTGACTTGTGCACGGCACCCTAGTAACCGGTCCCTAACTGTGTACCAAATTTGAGCGCAATCGGTCGAGCCGTTCTCGAGATCTGGAAACGACCCCTGCACGTGCGCACGTGCAGCGGCACCCCAACTCTGGCACATGGATATGCAGTGCCTAGTGGGTGCCTACCTACATGCCAACTTTCAGCGCAATCGGCCAAGTGGTTACCGAAATATTGCAACAATTACAAAAGTGACACCTCTTCGTTTTGCACGTGGCACGTGCATAAGGGGTCACCCACATGCATCGGGAATAGTCCAATACTTGGTAGAAGGAATGAAGCTACCCTACAAAAATTACCGCATGTAAATCGGTCAAGTGGTTGCTGAGATATAAGCCTCGCAAAAGCGTCCGCACGGCCGGCCGGCCGGCCGGCCGGCCGGCCGGCCGGCCGCTCATACTCAGAAATTTCCGTTATTCTACGTAAGACTCCGCTCGCTTCGCTCGCTCCGTAATAAATTCGGCCCAGTAGCAACCGAGTTATTGCCAGAATAAATTTGGCGTCTCCTCCTGGCCGGCGGTGCTCTGTTCCGGTATTCATTGCCAAAGGTCAGTGACCTGCCGGCTCTGATTTTGCTCAGTTTTCGCAGCGAACAATCTGAGTCTAGAGCACGTGCTCTCTGCTCGGCGCCGGCCGCGACCCAAAATCCCGCAAAGATGCGCCCGCCACGTGCAAACCGCCGAGCGCACCCCCACCAAAATTTAATACAACAAACAGATGCACGCGTCCGACTTATGTCCAAAATTCCACCCCAGCAGCCCGCACCGTTCCGGAGCAATAGCCCGCCAAGCGTGACTGACGCGTTACATACATACATACATACGTACAGACATTTTGATTTTTATATATGTGAACTAGGTGTCCAGCATTACGCGCAGCGTAATAAACCATGTTTCATTAACCCGCGCCCTGCTGGGGGGGGGGGGTGTTTGAACACCCCCCTTGTGGTTTTTTCGCGAATATCTCAAAAACGGCGGCGCGGAGCGCCGCCGTTTTTGGTACACCTTATCATACATCAATTCTACACATGTTGTGAAAATTTCAGACCAAGGTCATTCAAGGTCAGGTCACCAGGTCACTTGAAGTGACCTCACCTCATAAAAAGTTTCAATGTCTGTCATAGCTACACCGAGTGACCGATCGCTTTGAAACTTTCAGCGATTGCTAAGAGCAATAGCATGTACAAAATGTATATCTTAGAATTTTGATATCGATGACCTAAGGTCAGGTCAATTTTGCGACCTCCCCATTATAAGTCAATGGGAGAAAATTGAAATGCGCCTCTCTTGGCCGAAAGACATTATAAACACTCCCAAACACCGAATTACAAGTGGTTTAGACACACTGAACATGAAAATGGTGTCCGTGACCCTTGTTTGTGCCCTGAGGTCATCTTAGGTCACGAATGGTATCTAACAGTTTTTCGCAAATAACTTTTGATAGAGGCATGCTAGAGCGATGAAAACGCCTTATATGTGTTCAGCTCGACGATACGGATCGACTGATATGCAACATGACCCTTTCCGGTCAGGTCATGACCTTGACCTGAGGTCAAATTTTCAAGTTGACCTTTCAAGGTCAAGTCATAGTTCATTCGATGCGTCTTGACGAGAGGAACACGATGCCGGTGAAAGTAAGCTCGTACAAGGCTTGGGTCAAAAGTTATTGCAGAAAAACTGTTCCCGAAAAAATCGGCTATTTTTGCAGTTTTTGCCCCCTGCAGGCAAAACCGTTGACGTTAGGTCAAATCTGAGAAAATTACTCAGAAAGGGCGTTAATAGGGCTATTGAATGCACTTTTCCGCGGCGCTGTAGCTCTATTGGTTCCCGAGTTATGCGTTGGCTTCTTGGAAGTTTTCGACATTCGACCTGGAAATCGGCGAAATTTTGCCTTCAATGACCTCTGGTGACCTGACCTTTGACCTGACCAAAAAATTTACCGAAGTGATTTCGTCATTATTTTTTACGCTCTTTCGAACGCCGCCTTCCGCGTATCGCTACGTGGCCCAGGAGCCGAGTTAGAAGGGGGGGGGGTGTTCAGACACCCCCCCCCAGCAGGGCGTGGAAATCCAGGACCCCCAGCCGGGCGCGGGTTAAAGGGAGATTATGACCTTTTTCCACAAAATCTGAGTTAGGACCATTTTCTGACAAAACACAACAAGTTATAATGTAAATTAACCCGCGCCCCAGTGGCGGTCTCCGCCAACTTCGCCCTAGTGGGGGGGGGGCATATGTTACCACCCACCTCTAACTCAAAAACAAAGAGGGCTAGAAAGACGCGGTAAAAAGCAGTCGATAGCTCTTGATGCGTACGTTTGAAAGTATTTCGGTCATTTTTCATCTCAGAGCAATATTTGGGTCACCAGAGGTCATCAAAGGTCAAAATTTGCGAATTGTCATTATATTTTTCAGAAAACATGCCATTATCTCAGGAACTATGATAGCTAGAAGAACGCTGGCAAAAGCAATCGATAGCTTTTGAACTCTTCTTTTGATAAGGTCATCATAAAAAATTACCTCAGGTCAACTGTTTAGCCTCCAGAGGGCAAAAACTCCAAAAATAGCTGTTTTCAAGAAAAGTGTTTTTCGACAATAACTTTTGACTAAAAAAAGCTAGGTTATTTCTAATGCCAGAATCGTGTTCCTCTCGCCAAGACGCGTCGAATGAACTATAATTTGACCTTGAAAGGTCAACTTCAAAATTTGACCTCAGGTCAAGGTCATGACCTGACCGGAAAAGGTCATGTTGCATATCAGTCGATGCGTCTCGGCAAGACAAACACAATGAGGCCAACCCCAGCGTTCTATCTCTTTCCAATCGAGAGTTATTGGCAAAAAAACTGTTTGTAGCCTCAAATGACCTCGGATGACCTTTCAAGAGGCTATCAGCAAAAAAGACACCTTGGTCGTCACGGGTGGTCCAAATCATTGTTATCCTGAAATATTTGGACTGTTCCTATGCGTACACACGGATCTAGAGGCATTTTCGTTTTTCTCCATTGACTTATAATGGAAAGGTCACGCCACTGACCTGACCTTAGGTCACGCATATAAAAAATCCGAGATATACAAATTGTAGGCACCCATAACATCATGAAATCCACCAAGTTTGAAACCTCTCTGACAAACACTGCAGGCTGGACATGATTGCAAACTTTTTTTTAGGCTTGGTCAGTTAACTTGACCTAGTGACCTGACCTGACATGACCTGGGGTCAAAAATTTCACACATTGTCCAAAATTGATGTACCAAAAGCTACCCCAAGCGGCGCGGCGCTACGCGCCGCGGTTTTTTATTTATACGAAAAAAACGCGACAGGGTGGTAACATATGCCCCCCCCACTGGGGCGAAGGTTAAAACCATTTTGCTCAATTCGGTACCTTGCCGCAAATATCTCAACTTGAAGTCACGTTAGCGGGGAGCGCTGAAAATGACCGTTGAATAAGTACTTACATCACTTTTTGGTACTTGCATGTAATTTTGTAAAATGAGCGTATTCATTACATTTGATCTTCATCACATCTAGTTAGTTAATGGTCGTCTATAGTGCCTTCAAAAGATATTCATGGTTTGGGGGTGGTTTATGTCTAAATTTACGCAACTATTTTTCCTGTTCATCATCTGTCGCCATATGCTGCTATTTTAGTAGCAACGACTCAATTTTGAATCGGTCCCGCCGACTGCACAATAAAAGAAAATAGATACAACACTTTTGCGGCATCACTGAAAAACTTATGCAGTACTGTTATCAAAATTCTCATAACACCGTTCGACAAACCTGAAGTCTTTTTGAAATAAATATGCTTGTATTTTTCGCTTCAGGCTCTGAGGCCAAAATAATGAATTTCGTAGTCGCAATCGCAAGATTTGGCTGCGATTCTGGCGCATGCCGTTCATTTGTGGCGCAAAATAATACTTGGAAACAAAGAAGAGTAGGCACTATGATGTAACGGAAGTTAGCAGGGATTCAGCAGGGGTTCAGCAGGGATTCAGCAGGGATCGACGGCCCCTACGATTTCGCTGAATTTTGGTGGAGAGGTGCAGAATGGTGTCCTCTATCGAAAATCCTAGTGCCAAAATGCGGGGAATCCATCAGGGGGGCCACAAATCCCAAAAAACAGTATGCCCTCAGGGCACAATCGACGAACTTTGAAAACCCTACTTCTAGCCGTCAAAACAGCTAAAAATGCACGTCATTCGAAAGAGGACAAAATTTTACGTACAACGGTACCAAATTTAGGGGGCTAGCGCCCCCCTGAACCGAACAAAACAGCTT